TGGAGGTGGTGGTGGTGGTGGAGGTGGTGGAAGGTGGTGGTGGTGGAGGTGGCAGAAGGTGGTGATGGTAGAGGTGGTGGAGGTGTTGAGAGGTGGTGTTTGTGGAAGAGGTGGTGATAGTGGGCATGGGAGGTAATGACCATGCTGGTGGCTGGTGGCGGTAGTAGTGGTAATGATGGTACTAGTGACTAGAGTAGGAATATGGAAGGAGAGGAGTAGCAACAATAAGTGCTATTTATATTACTATTGTTAGGGTAGTTTGAGGGAAACAGTGCATGAAGAATTCCACTCAAAAATCTGGGGGATGGCACTGATAGATGCACCTGGCTTATGAAATATTTGCTTTGTGCTCAGTGAAATTAAATCTCTTTGAATGATTTTATTTAAGACCACTTTAAAGGGTTCTTTCAAGTCAGAACATCACAATAGCAATTTAATTAATTAATTACCCTAATATGTGAAAAGAGGCCTCAGACTGGGAGCTTGAGGACTAGTCAAAGATTGAACGTACTGTACAGCCATGTTAATTTTCTGTTAAATGTTAAATTGAAGATTCAGATCATATCACAAATTTTAATTCCCACAGATGAACTTGTTGACCCTTCTACATTGGGTTGGTAAATGCTCCAGGAATCAAGGTAAACCAGCATGTCCGAGAAATGTCCATTGGCCCAGACATGACAGATATGCTGCAGAACTCAGGGATGTGCAGGGTTCACACTAACTCGGTAACAAATAAGATGGCATACCATGGCAATGAACATTGCCATCTCATACGAGAAGGAACAAAATGGCTCACTCTAGGGGACACTCACCTGGTTGCAATAATGTCTGATGAGGGTAAACACAAAGCCCCGATCCATGAGGGAGAGAAGGTCATACAAGAAGAAAGCCAGGCTGATGTTCATCTTTTCCGCCTGTTCATTTTCCTTAAAAACAAACAAATGCTCAAATCATTTTGTGGTACACTCTGGATTTGAACTCCCAGGTCACTGGTGGGAAAGCTGGGAGACACAGGTCCTACTATTTCAGCCACTGTCCCTCTGGGTGACACTGGGAAAAGTATTTAAGTCTCTTTTAAGTAAAGCCATGACTGTGAAGTTGAATCAAGTAATTATTCACGTATTGTTAATATTTAGGTGCATTTCCTTCCAGTCACTTTTTCTACAATCATATTTATATATGTATAATTAAGCTGATTCTCTATATACTACATTGAATCCTAAATTTTTGATATCCTGATAACTATTTTTTTGGTAACTACTTTTTTTTTTTTTCATGCA